ACATGCATGGCTTGATGGACCTATTAACTAGTCAAAGCCCTGCCATACCCACCTGCATGCGGGGGTTGTCTCGCCTCTCTTATGCGCATATACTACACAAACACAAGTTTTAAACTTATTCTAGTTAAAAAAAAAATGATTTTTTTAGAATCGTTTACAGAAAACTGGTTTTGCTCATAATGGGTTCGTTTATTTATTGGAAGGTGAAAGTTGTTTTTTTTTTTCTAGTTTTTTAACCGGTTCTATTTTTTGTTTTTTTGTGTAAATCGGGTAAAAACCAGTTCCAAACGGATGGTTCGGTTCTAACAAGTTTGGTTATTTCAAAACCGGTTCTGGTTTTCTCCATTTGGTTGTCAAAAAACCACTTTGTATTGTGCACTCTACTTGGGAGTTGGGACTATCTTGGGAGCAGATGGACTCCTCATTACCGGGCTCACGGGCTGGGCTGCCGAGTACAAAAGTATTCCAAGAGCCCAAAATACGTGGAGGAATACAACAGATAGGAGGCCGATTATGAAGTCAAGAGATATTAATGGGAATGTGATTGGACTTAAATCTTAGCCCCATCAAGCTCTATATTAATCACGAAATTGATAAAAATTTAATGCGGAAGTGGGTGCAGATACGACCAAAAGAAAGATTAGGGTCATCAGAATCCATAGAGTAAAGGGAATGAGAAATTTACCAAATTACCCAACAATTATGGGAAAGAACAAGGAAGACAAAGAATGGGAAGCCAGGTAGCTTTTTCATTATAAATGAAGTCTCTTTTCCATGGGAATAATCATCAGAACCACTTGGACCAAACTTCTATCTCTTCATAGTCAAAATCTTTTGCACCATTTTCATTACCAAATTCCAAGTAGCTATATAATCCAGCGTTGGTTAAAACCTTCCTTTTTTAATAATGTCTTGAATATAGATAGAGGGTCTTTTGAAAATGAATGACCTTATCTGTGAAAGATACGATATCAATTGTATGCAAGTGGGTTGAAAGTTATGGCTAACACTCCTCCGTTTGTCAGTATCTGGGTTGTAAGAGCGCGAACCTGCTTTTGGAGTGGTTGATGAAGGCTTTGTTTATGGTATATGAAAATCGTTGGTATGGTTGTTTTGCTTCCTCCAGCTAAGATGATCATCATGCATGTATGTCCACTTTAGGATTACATTTATTCTACTGGTATATATGTTTTCTGGTTTTAATAGTATTGCACCCCTGTAACTTTTGATGCCATATAAAAAAAAAAAAAAACAAGCTTTGTAATTTTCCCTCTTATAAAAAGAAGTTTATCTTGTCTTGTATAGACATGCAACTAGCTATGCGCTGCATAGTATTGGGGATATATCTTCTATTGAGCCTTTAAGTTAATATATATAAAAGTACAAAAGATGTAATAACAGTTACTATACACTTAGAACAACATGTTTAAATGTTACTTAATATACACTTATGCTATAGGACGGAACTCAATGCCATACACAATAAGACCAGACATATTTCCTTCATAACATGTCAGTTTCAAATCCATAGGAACAAACTCATCACTATGCGTGTCATCAAAGATGTTTTCCCACACTATAACCTCCATCCATCCATCTTCTCTCTGTTCTGGAATCCATTTGATTTTGTCTAAATTCACTGTGTTTGGGTACCTGAAAGAAATGATTTTGGTTCTTTCCTTTCTATGAGGTACTAGATCACGTGCTTTCACTGGGCACTTGAGCCCACGACATTTTTTTGAAAGTTTGAACACAAGGAAACAAGCATAGGTTGTATCTGCTGAGAGCATTTTGGTCTCAATGTCACATTTGATACGAAAATCCTGGTGAGATAGAATCTCAACAACCTCTTCAAATCTGCACCTACATTAATTAAGTCTTATAAATTTAAGTGATTCCATGAAATCTGCTAAAGTAAACCTAAGATGAAAGGAGTAATAAAGTAAACCTGGATTCGGTTGGAGGGTTGCACAACTTTATACTTGAAGAGTTGTATATAATTGCTTTTGCAGGTAGCATATGACATCTCTTCCCGTTGACTTCACTTAGGGAGAATAACTGTTCATCATAGAGTTACACGCTTATCATTATGATACCACAAGAATATGTAATTAATTTTTCAAATTTTGTGTTAAGAAAAAGAAAAACATCAGACCTTTTCACCATTGTCAATTAGAACTCCTTTGAAAAGAAGTAAGCACAGCTCTACATTGGAGGCATTTTGGACATTGTTTCCAGACCTCTTAATAATTTCTTCATTATCGGCTATCATTTGTTCTGCTGAGTCCATCTCCAACTTTGTTTTCAAGACTCCTCCCATGTTTGTTCCATCCTTCAATTTTTTATTTTTTTCTAAGTCCACCTATAGACAATTAGATGACCACGTTATGATATTTTTGTACAAATTTCCCCAAAATAAATACAAAAAAGAAGAGAGGTACACTAACTATTTGATTTACCATTGGAATGGCGTTAAACTCTATGCCTTCAACAAATATTCCCCCTATGCCACAATAATACTTTGAAAAGCTTTCTAGTAGAAATTCAAAATCAGTACTTCTGTGATCACTCTGAAACCGAAATAATTCAACTCTCAACCACTGACTTCCACCTTCTTTCCACTCTGCAAAATATGCATTTAAGGTTTCACCCGCCTTTTTATATTTAAGGTTTATGTATATCGGCCTGTTGGAAACCTTTCTTCGATCATAAAACTTGAAAACTAGGTAAGCTCCATACATCGTCTCTGGAGTTAAGAACTCAGCATTTATCTGAACTCCAATATTAAGATTTGAGATGTCCAAGATCTTTGCGACCTTTGGAAATCTGCACAAACATATTACGATTCAGAAAATCGTATGCTATCCAACATATTGATAGATTGTAAAAAGGAGCAAGTGTTGGTAGTTTCTCATAATTTACATGTTAGACTATGATTCTAATAAATATATGTTTCTGTGGGTTTAATTTGTGGCTTACAAATTGGTCAAAAGGTCCAAATAAAGTCAAAAGATCTTTAGTGAATAAGGGTACTTTTGTCTTTTTCAAGCGTTTGTTTTTGTTTGGCTGCAGCTTAATAATGTGTATCAGGTTAGTTACGGAGAGTTTTTGAGATTTGCCATTTCCATTATTCTCCTCTTTTCTTTGTTCCCCCACAAGTAAAATGAGAAGCAAATTTTGGTTCTTCATTTTCTTGTTTCTTTTCTAATTATTCCTTTTGTAAACACTAAACACATATACACATCATCATAGCACAGCAGTTTCATTTTCCACATCTCAAAAGACCACCAAATTATGTGCCCATAAGATGAGAAAAACTACAAAACAAGCCCCCATATTTTGAAATTTGTTGTTAAAACTCGTTGGCTCAAGTCAAAAATGTGAATTCTACTTCAACATAGATTTGACAAAACTAAGGGAATTTCTATCACTTCATTAGAAGTTTAGATCCCAAGCCCAACATGTTTTCCACCATATCTTAGTACAGTCACTTATAAAACTTGTGGTTCCCGAAGCAAGCTCATGCACTCTAGCTAGGTTTTAACCTCATGGATTTGATGCAAACGTTCCACTTCATAAAAGAAGTAGAAATTTTTATGCTAGAGTTCACTCCAAACAGAATGATTTTAAGTTAAGTGACATGTATCACTTGACTTAAAAAGTTAATAGAAAGTGGTGGTAATCACATAAAGTAGACAGAACCTTGATTTTTGAATGGATCTCCACTTCAGAGAAGAAACATCATTGTATGAAAATCTTTTGGCCGGTATCATTTCATTTCTTGATCCATCCATGCTTATTGAAAACCACTGTTGCCATAAAAGATGAGCAAAAATTGAAATTAAAAATGAGTCGGAGAGCATTAATTATATTATGAAAAGGCATGGAATGTTGAGAGAAGATGTCGAGAGGATTAGAAGACAGTGAGAATGATAAGTTATTTATCTAAACGGTTACTTTCTGTCCTGATATATATTATATCTTGCATGGAATGATTAGTTTGTTTCTTGTATAATATTGATGGCTGGTTATTTATCAATATTGTTGCTTGTTTGGAGTTTAGATCTCATGTTTCTAGTTCTGATGAGCCTTGAGATGTTTTTCAATCACCTTTACCTTCTTTGAGATTAGATAATATTAGATATCATTTATCAGTGCTGCATTGAGCTTGCAAGATCATCTAGAAAAAAAAAAAACATTCCTTTCATTTGAAGAAAACATAATACCCACAGTGGTTTTTCCTTGATATGTAAATAAAAGCCTATGTTGTGTAAATGATTCCTAGATGCAAAATTTTGATTATAGTGCTATTATATCATCTTTTTTTTTTCTGGCAGGCATGTATGCTATATATGGTAGTGAAGAGATATTCCAAGGAAAACCAACACATGGAATTATTGACTATAGTCTATCGATGTATATTTCGAATGAGGAAAACATATATAATGGTAAAAGAGATCGAGTCACCACTTTTTCGTTGTTAAGGAGGATTCCTGAAGAAAATAGGGAATGGAGATCCTTCTTTGAGATAGTGGAGGGCACCGTATATTTTGACATTTGGATTATTTTCTTATAATCTGTTGGCAGATTTTGCTCCCATTCCCACTCATCCTGTGTATGTGTGAAAGATGAAAACATTATAACTGCATGCAAAGCAGTTTGCTGAATCTTGCTATTAAAAGAAGGCTCATTAGTTTCTCTACTCGTCAAGGTGAACTTACCTGGCAATTGAAGGCTTTTTCAAGTTCCTCTACAACCTTAGCCATTGTTGGTCGATCCTCATGTTGTTCCATCAAGCATTGATAGGCAATGGTTGAAAATATCACCAAGGATTGTGGTTCAATTTGTTGTTTTATAGCATGAAAGATAATATCTTGTATTTTTTGGGTTTTGAAGCTTTTTGCTGCCAACTGTGCAAGAAACACCACTCGCTCGTCTTCAACTGTCAGTCTTGCACTTTTCAGTTGAGCTTCATCATTTGGGAGTTCACGAAGCTGTTGTTTCTGATCAATTTTGATCCTTTCAACTGCTGATCTTCCTGATAAGATCTCAAATAAAATAACCCCAAAAGAATACACATCCGATTTTTGTGTCATGGAGCCTGTGGTCAGATAGAGTGGATCAAGATAACCTAAAGTGCCTGCACCTCGGAATATGATGAAATCAGAAATTGCAGCTTTCCAATCGTCCCTAAGAAGAATGCTACTGCTTTTCATGTCACCATGAATCAACTGTTGATCGGTTTCAGTATGACTATGAATGTAAGCTAACCCATGTGCAGCATCAACACATATCTTGAGCCTTTGTTTCCATGTTAGACTACTGTTGGTTAGATGCTGTTTTACACTTCCTTTAACCATGTGCTCAAAAACAACGATCCTCTCACCCTTTTCTTCACAAAATCCTATAACAGGAACAACATTCTCATGGCTATAACTATAAAGCTGTGCAATCTCCTTACACAATTCTTCTCCATATGAATCCACTGAATGACAGAGCCGCTTTATGGTAACCGTGTTATGTCCACTCAAGTGAGAAAGTGTCCCAGAATACACCTCGCCCAATGGTCCTTGCTCTTTTTTATCACGGAAGTTGTTTGTAGCAGACATAACATCATCGAGTGTCGTTCTAAGGGATTCCACCCCCTTAACCTGCATAAGATATGCAGAGATAAGTGCAAGCTTTGTAATATTACATATTCATTATTGTTTCCAATTTAGAATTGTTTGGTATTGCTTATTTGAAGTGTGTGTTGACTCATTGCGATTTGAAACCGGTAATAAGCTATTTTACATTTTGATAGAATAATAGTAAAAACTAAAAACACTTATTTACTTATATATTTGATAATTTACTTTCTCCTCACTTATTGAATTAAATAAAGAGTTTTTGATAAGTTCTTTCTTCATTACACGTATAAACAGAATTTGACAAACACTAAAAATTAACTTATTAGCTTTTACATTTTGGTACCAGATAAACCGATCAAAATAGTTTTTTTTTTTTTTTTTTTAAACTCTATTCTGACACAGATAAACTAATAAACACTTAAAAAGAAAAAGTTGTTTCAAATAAGAAATCCCGTAAATCTATCCTCATATCTCATAAATATATTATATGGATATGGATATGGATTTTATTGGGGTTGAAACACACTTTTACTCTAAACTAGAACGAAAGAAACAAAATTACACTCTCTATTGCAAGAACGAAAAACAACCCTCTAGATAATACTCGCTCTAAGTATTACTCTCTATCACTCTGTTTTGTGGTGCTCTACAACTGAAGTTGGAGCTCTATTTATACCTAAACCAACCACAAAAGTTACTGTAACTATTTATTGCATTCACCGTATGAAATAAAGAAGCTGCCATTTCTTATTGTCAACATAGATGGTGGTGCACCCAGCCATCCATGTTAGGTTCACACCCAAGTAATTTTACACTCACAAATTTTACATGGGTCTTACGTCTAAGGTACAAGTTTAGGGCATCCACAATGTATTACACTTATTAGAGTTTGATGGATAGACACATCATCATTTTATTTACTATACAACTCTACATTATTTTTCCTATAATGCATTGAACTCAACAGAGTTCAATGGAATATATATATATATATATATATATATATATATATATATATATATATATATATATATATATATAAAGTTTCTTTTTCCCCATTGAAGAGTTCAATGACGATTGAACTCCATATTTATTGAATGCCAAAATGGCATCCCACAATGATAGAGTTTAATCTATTGAATGCCAATTAGACATGCCACCTCATTCAACTATCTCATTAAACTATGCATTGTGGATGCTCTTACTTCTTAATGTCGGCTAAATGCAAGAAATAGCAACATACTTTTGTTTATTTATGAATTATAGCATCCTACTTTCATATCCATTGTTAGTTTTTTCATTTTTTTTAGTTTCAAGGCATTGTACTTTGAAAATTTTACCAAATTATACACCTTGTACTTTCAATTTTTTCTCCTTATTAGCACATTATGCCTTGAAAAATCTACCCTATTTTAGTGTGTTAGATGATATTACTATAGTTGGGTATATTTTACAAAGTACAATGCTACAATTAAAAAAAAATTAACTACTTACATGGGACTTGAATGCTCTTTCAAGTTCTTTCACGACATCAGCCATTGTGGGACGGTCCTCTCGTTTTTTGTTGCAGCATTTACATGCAATTTCTGCAAATATCATTAGGGAAGCTGGGCAGGTTTCATCATCCAGAACTGGAGAGCCGGCTTTCTCAAATTCTTTCTTGAACTTTGAATCGATAATCTCGTTCACTTTTTTCTGCTGGAAGCAGCGTTTAGCCATATGAGGTAGAAATTCTGGGTCATCTTTGGACAATTGGAAACGTGCCAGCCTTCCACTCAGTGCTTCGAATAAAACCACTCCAAACGAATAAACATCAGACTCCTTTGTCAGCTTACCTGTCTTGGCATATTGTGGATCAACATATGCGAGTGTCCCAACAGCTTGAGTCATGAGAAAGGTGGCTTGCAGATTTGCGGGGCCAATTCTTGACAACCCAAAGTCACTAATCATGCCTATGTAATTTCGCCCAAGTAGAATGTTGGAGCTTTTTATATCTCGATGTATTATCCTATGATGTTCTCCAACACCATTATGGAGAAAGTCGAGCCCATAGGCAGCATCGAGGCAAATCTGAAGACGTGTTTTCCATGTATGAATATCATTATTTTCAATATGACAATCGAGGCTTCCATTTGAGGCATACTCATACACGAGAATACGCTCATGATCTTCATCACAAAATCCAACAAGTGTGACAAGGTTTTTGTGTGTAAAGTAAGGGAGCACAGAGATTTCTTGCAAGAATTCCCCAGTTCCTTGCCCTGAACTCCTATCTAACCGCTTAATAGCAACAGTGCTTTGTGTTCTTTGGTAGCTTGAGAGTTCCACCGTAGAAACTGTCTTATATCCACCCTGTTTAACATATTTTCTAAAATCGAAATGGAAGAGTTTTGCTTTGTAAACTTTCCCAAATCCACCAATTCCAATTTTATAATCATCGTGAAAGTTATAAGTTGCTGACTTTATAGCTTCTAGTGGGATTTTCATATGATCCATGTTTTTCACCTGCAACATTGAGTGTCAGTGTAGTGGAAAATAAAAGTTAAATTTCCTGCTTATTATAATATTACTACACACATGAGGATCACATATAACTCAAAGATATTTTTTATCATTTCAGAAAACTCAAAAGATCCATAGAACCTAGCTAGTTGTCTTGCTAATTTTTGCTTTATCTTAAATTTCCTCATGCCTTATGCTGTTTTACTTCAATTCCTATGATCAAAAATATACTAATAGTTATAAATGCATGCACAATCCATTTGATGAATATCCCTACTTCGTTACAAAATGTGCTCTCTAGCTTCACGTTCAATTTTTTTTTTTTTTTTTTTTTTTTTTTTTTTTTTTTTTTAATTTAGAACTAGTGTTCAATTTTATAATTATATATTTCCATTAGCTAAGATAAGGTAGCTCCTCCAAAGTGTAACTTCGCCTCCATTTTTACATATCATATATATTTAATATTTCTCTCATTTTCGATTTATCCACTATAAAAGAAGTTAACTCAAAGAAATCGGTCACAAAGCTTATTTTTTCGGGTCAAGAAGCTTTGTAATGGTGTAAATTATTTTATATTTTAAGTATATTTCTAATAAATTAAACTAATTAAAATAAAAAATTATGATATAAAATAAAAAACTAAAACTAAAGTGTATATATATATATATATATATATATATATATATATATATATATATATATATATATATATATATATATATATATATATATAGGGAAATGATCAAATGAGAACACCTAAAAGGTTGAAAACACGAGAACAAGTATATTCATTTGTGATTCTATGTATTCATTTATAGAGAAATGATAAATTTTTACGCACATATATATATATATATATATATATATATATATATATATATATATATATATATATATATATATATATTGAATTTCTTTATGAGATCTGGTGTGTGTTTGGAATCACTCTATGACCATAAACCAGTCCATCCATATATGTAAAATAGTAGATAACATGTTAAGTCTTAACATTAAGGAATTTTTATAAAAATACGATAGTGAATGCCATTAAGAACATATCAGTTTAAACCTCACAGTCACGGATAGACAGTGAATGTGACGTAATGATTTATCATTGCAATTGGTGATGACATATGAAAAAGTTGATGACTGGTTTGAACATTAGAGATCTAAAGAATGAAAAATTAATTAGTAGTCAAAGAAAAAAATTCTTCGAAGATAGGATCACTAATAATAAACTAATTTTTAGCCACCCAAATCATAAGAAAATTTGATACGTTGCCTATTGATGATGGTCTCACCGATGGCAATGGTCTTGTGACTAGTTTAGATCCGAATAGTGTAACTAACATAGGTCTTGTCTATCATTCGAATCTCATCTTTGATGTAGGTGTCGTCTACAACTCAAATATTGTTTACGACACATATTTTACCCATATCTTAGATCTATATATGATTCTGAGAATAAAGACCAAAATTTTCATGTCACGCCTCGTTCCTGGTACGCATTTAAATTTTATTTTTCTTTATTTTGTAGAGCTACTCGACGAGTTGGGAGCCCTCAACTCAGCGAGTAGGGTTGCCATGATGAAGCCTTAATTTCGGGTTTTACACCCTATTTAAGTAATTTAATCCCTACCTTTTGGCCTCATTTCTAGCCTCCAAGTCCTAAACCCAAATCCATGGAACCCTAGATCATTTGTGAGTGTGTGAGCCATCTTTGATGATTTTGTGTATTCTTGAAGCTAGAAGAAGAAAAATGAGCTAGAAGTTTCAAGGAGAACGTTGTAGATCCTGGGATTTCATTCCATCCTTATTAATTTCTAGTAATCAAGTCTCTAACTTGATCATTCATTTATTAGATCTATTTTCTTCCATTTATATGAAGGTTTTGATTCAAGGACCTTGGTCTTTGGGATTTGGATGTCCCAAATAGTTTACATTTCAGATCTAGGATCTAGGAGGGGTTCCATGGCATAAAGGTGCAAACTTTATAACCATGGAAGCCCCATGCAAGCTTCAAAACGTTATTGTGGCCTTTTTAGCTCAAAAAGGTCATGCATGAAGATAAAGGTGGGAGCTTTATATGTCTAAGTAATGTTATAGGGTAGATCTGTGAATTTCAGTTTTAGTTTAGTGCATGAATGGCTTAAGGACCAAGTTTTAGGTCCCAAGGAGTTAGTGTAACACCCCTAATCCAGCAGCACCAAGAAAGGAAAAGAAAACCTTAAATTAAGGAAGGGACTCGTCGAGTAGATGAAGTGACTCGACGAGTAAGAGCGCGGATAGTGTCGCAAGTTAAGTGACCTACTCGATGAGTCAGAGGACACGTGGGTGAGCCCCGCAGGATTATAGTAGTACAGGTGGGAGCTGCTAGAGACCTTAGAGTTAAGATAGGGGATCGAGGATCCCAGGACTTGTAGAGCTATAGTGGCAAGGTAGATACAACAGTTTGGATAACCGAAGTTTCCTTTGCGGGTCACTGGAAGCGACTGAACGATTGAGTTAGGGTTCAATAACCGGTAAGAGTCCGGTAACCCGGTTGAGGGAAAATTAGTTGGGACCAGGGTGGTCTCGATTCCTCCGGAAGGCGGATAAGAGTCAGCAGAAACTTTAGTCAGGAGTAAATAATGATAGGAGAAGTTCGGAATGGAGCAGCTAGTTGGTTGAGAAGTGTTGCGCCTCTCACGGTAAGGTTGAATAATCACAGAGGGAAGGGTTTGACCGTGCTGCGTAGCTCTCGTATGAGTAACCGTTGCAGGGATGAACCTTTTACTCGAAGGATTATCTGATCCATTCGCTAGGATAGAATGTCAGCACCAGGACAGAGTAAGAGGAAGCATTCAGTAGTAGTCAGTGAAGTAACCAGCACGGAGGTGACCGGAGATGTAGTTACAGCAAAGACATGTAGAGAAGGTAGTTGTTTAAGGGAAGTTGCCTTATGAAGGCAAGCAGACATGCAAGGAAGAAGGGGTAAACCCCTAGGATGTTCAGCATGGGTACTCGGGGAGTACCGAAAGGAAGGTCGGTTAGATAAGAGTCACGTTCGAGGATGATTGCAGATTAGAGTGCTCGCGAGGTATTATCGGCAAGGATTAGTTATGACAAGATGATCGGGCGGAGGGACGATGGAAGCGATTCTGCGAGAATCGGACCCAGTGAGAAACGTATCCATAGAATAGGGACGTGGTAAGCAGATTGTAGGATAGATGGCAGTAACAGACTTCGAGGACGAAGTCTTGAATAAGTGGGGGAGAATTATAACACCCCTAATCTAGCAACACCAAGAAAGGGAAAAAAAACCCTCAAATTAAGGAAGGGACTCATCGAGTAGATGGAGTGACTCGACAAGTAGGAGCGCGGATAGTGTCGCGAGTTAAGTGGCCTACTCGACGAGTCAGAGGACTGACTCGGCGAGTTGGTCAGGTTTTGGGAAAACCCTAAATGCGGGCCTTGTACCCTATTTAAGGAACATTATAGCCTCTCTTCAGCCTCCATGATACTCCCTCAAGTCTAGAACGAAACCTTAGTGCTTTCCATGTGTTGTAAACCATTTTTGAGGGTTCTTAAATGTTCTTGAAGCTTTGAAGAAGAAGGAGTTGGAGGATTCAAAGAGGTGTTGTAGATCCAGAAATCTCATCTAATCCTTATCATTTTCTGGTAATCAAGTTCTCATCTTGACCTTTACTTTGATAGATATCTTCTTTGTCATTTTTGGGGGTTTTTGGTCCAAGAACCCTAGCATGTGAGGAATGGACGACCCAAAGGATTATGTCTTCAGATCCAGAACCATTGAGGGTTGTTATGGCATAAAGGTGTAAGCTTTATGCTATAGGAGACCCAATGCAAGCTTATAGGATGTTGTATTGGCCTTTCTAGCCCAAAAGGCCCATGTATGGAGGAAAAAGGCAGGATCTTTGCATGGTTGTGAGGTGGTTGGGTCCTGATCTGTCTATGGGTGCTTGAGTTTGGGGTATGGTGGCTTGTGGACCAAGATCTATTTCCTTAAGAGTTAAGGTTTGCATGGAAACCCATTAAGTGAGGGTATTAATGGGTAAAGTTGAAAACTTTATCCTTAAGAGGTCATTTCCAGTTAGTATTAGGAGTTTTAGTCTTGGATCTGGAATGGAAGGGCTTAATCCATTAAGCTAGCCCAACAGACAGAGGAACTCGGCGAGTCCAAGGAGAACTTGACGAGTTGGAGTGGGTTGTCCCGAGTTGAGTCGCGTTAGAACTCGGCGAGTCAGAGAATGATTCAGCAAGTTGACTTGATTTATCACGAGTTGGATCAGTCAGGGAACTCGGTGAGTCAAGGGAGAACTCGACGAGTTGGTTCGCGATTTTAGGATTCTGAGCTTGTGAACTCGGCGAGTTGATGGAACAACTCGGCGAGTCCAGGTTAAAGTGTTAACTTTGACCGTGGACCCTTGACTTTGACTTTAAGCAGAATTTTTAACTTAGTTTGACTTCTGGAGAACATTTTGGGACTAAGTGTTATGTTGGTATTGGTAGCTCGGGGAGCTAGAGGAGCATCGGTTCGGGAAGTTGTCAGATAGCAGTCAGGAGGGTATCAACAAGAGTTTCAGCTGTGCAAGGTGAGTTTCCCTTTGTGTGAATGAGTCTAAGGTGACAATGTCGGCCCATGTATTTATGAGTAGGAAGACTCGGGGGTTAGCCCTAGGCATAATATGCTAGTATAATATTCCCGACCAAGGTCCGATGTCGGGCGAGAGCCCAAGGACTGTTTGTATGATAGATTATACTTGTCGTCTGTGTGATACTTGTATGTGCCTGGGTGGGAGGTGAGTGTGGGCGAGGTCCCGTATCTCACCACTAGCAGAGTACGGATAGAGTTTTGTATCTCATTAGTAGCAGATCAGGGGCGAGGCCCAAGATAGGAAAAGAGTGAGTGTGGGTGGGGGCCCGTATCTCACTAATAGCAGGAGCTTGGACAGGGTTCCATGACTCATATTTAGCAGGACAGGGGCGAGGCC